ATTTTGAATAATAAATAATAATAATGATGTTGCCACATAGTCTCATTTTCAACTACCTCTTTCTCAGAAATCAAAGCCTGCAAAAACATTTTTATTGGTTTAGTTGTGTTCAGTTATAGATATCATACTTTTGAATCATTCTATACTCGTACCTATAAATATTTGAATTAATTAATCAGTTTTTTATCACATTTTCAGATGTTGTTTTTTACATGGGTTTATGAAATATTGTTTATTTGTTTGGTTGCACATTATCACATATTAGTTTATAAAACGTTAAAATAATTTTCACTTCTCACAAACAATTCACCGTTTTTTAAATATGTGTAACAGATACGAGTATTCTAAATAAAATATTACTATTTTAGGCTTTTAGCATCGTTTTGTTGTTTTAACTCTTTTTTTATTTGCATATCGTAAAACAGATCAGATATGCAGTTTTCAACATTACCTATTATTTCTATACAGGTGTCCCACGAGTTATAGTGAGCCTGAAAAAATTTTGGAAGCAACCAACATTTACATTTCAAAAATAACTTGGATATTACAATATTTAGTTTTAATAAATTAAACATAGTGACCAAACAGCACACTTCAACTTTAATTTATAAAAAGTCAAACTTTGGAAAATTTGGTGAAAATTAGTAAAATTTTGCTGAAAAGACCAACAAGATTCTCATTTATGACGAATGTTTGAAAAACGCTTCGCAGATTGCACGTTTCTTTCTATCCAGCGCGATATCCAAATAGACGGACTTTCTAAAACTGGAGTAGTCATTTTGACTGATAAAAATTTGTCAAAAATAAAAATACAATTACTATGTTTAATTAATTAAAACAAAATATTTTAATATCCACGTTATCTACAGGGATATTCATAAATATGAAGCAATATTTGAACCTCAAAAATGACCTATAAAATGATGTTAATTTAAATAATATCTCGTGTCCTATATCTCTACTGATAAGAATTTTACAGCCCTCGGAATGTGGGTATGGAAATTTGATTTTTTTGTAATAACTTTGGAACTATTTGACCAAATATTATAAAATTTGGAACATTTCCCTGTGACAACATACCCTTTGAGTTCACGAAAATCGGATACATCCACTCAATTTCCGGTTCCAGCAGTTGCAGGTCACATTTTCTGTGTTTTTCCATTTTTTTTGCTCTCTTAACACCAATTTTTTATTCCCCAAATCGATAGAGTAATCAATTTTGATTAAAAAACGCATAACCTTTAATACCCCTAAAATGGATCTTTTCAAAGCTATTTTAATTTAAACTGAGGACTGCACAACGCTGAAACCAAAAAGTAGGGATTTTGAATGGATAATATCCACGGTAACAAATGACCATGGTCTCACTAATCGCTGTCAGGCAACTGTCAACTCTGACATTGGACAATTTTTAGACAATTAATCGAAAATATTTAATAAAAGAGTTTACCTCAGATTCCAAACATAACTTAGAATAAATCCAAATGGATCTCGTAGCATTTAATTCATAAAAAATTCACAAAAATTTATCGTCAAAGTTAACAGATGCCTGACAGGGATTTATGGTCATTGGTTTCCGTGGATACCATTTATTCAAAATCCCTATTTTTTGATTTCAGCGTTGTGCAGTCCTCATTTTAAATTAAAATATCTTTGAAACGGTCCATTTTAGGGGTATTAAAGGTTATGCGTTTTTTAATTGAAATTGATTACTCTATCAATTTGGGCAATAAAAAATTGGTGTTAAGAGAGCAAAAAAAATGGAGAAACACAGAAAATGTGACCTGCAACTGCTGGAACCGGAAATTGAGTAGATGTATCCGGTTTTCGTGATTACCAGCTCAAAGGGTATGTTGTCACAGGGAAATGTTCCAAATTTTATAATATTTGGTCAAATAGTTCCAAAGTTATTACAAAAAAATCAAATTTACATACCCACATTCCGAGGGCTGTAAAATTCTTATCAGTAGAGATAGGACACGAGTTATTATTTAAATTAACATCATTCCATAGGTCATTTTTGAGGTTCTAATATTGCTTCATATTTATGAATAACCCTGTATGGAATGTAATGTTGGTTGTTTCAAAAAAAATTTCAAGCTCATTATTACTCGTGGGACAGCCTTTATTTAATTTAGTAATCAATTTTGTAAAAAAATGTGAATGTTAAAAAAATAGGTTTTAGCTGGAAAATTATTTATCCCTAAATTAATAAAAAAATTAACAATAAATAATTCAGTTGTTGTTTGACATTGACCACCAATTATAGTCCTTTTTAGTTAATTTTTTTTCAAAATGTAATGTTTTTGTTAATGTTCATAATAAATAATGTGAATAGCTTTTAGCACTATTTTAAAAAATAAAAGTTTTGCTTATAAATGTTCTAATAAAAAATTAGTTTGGTAATGAGAATTATTAGTGTGATAACTAGAGTTCGGATTTTATGCAAAACGCATATTTATTATTTGTAGGAATATATTTTTTGTTAATTTAGGATGTGCACAAAACACATCAAAACAAAGCAAATAGACCAATTTAAAGAATGCATATTTTGCATATTTTTAAGTTTTAGTGAGTTGTTGCATAACTTCGATATTTAGCTCATAAAGTTGCATATTTTAAGTGTTTGCAACGGGCATTTGATAATTTTGCCATCATATTATAAATACTAAAAAAATAACTGGAGCTTTATTTATTATCGAATTCAGTAATAATTTAGCACTCGCTGGGGTAGATGGTTAGAGGCAGCATGTTTTTATGCCGACCATTACCACAATGTTAAAAATATTACTTCAGATTTTTTGATAAAATGTGAAAATTTATTTGATAAAAGAAAAATAAGAGAACAATTAGCTAAAAATTGTCACTTCTGTGTAAACAGCATTAATTTATCATCTCAAACGATAAATGACAAAAAAATGTTCAACTTTGTTCTAAGAAGTATTGTCATAACTTTAAAAATAATGGAGTTATGGCATGGGGCGTTTTTCACAATATATCCTGTATTTGCGCATATAATTTTACTGCATAAAAATCCGAACTCTAGTGATAACTGATAAAAAAGTTCTTATCCTTTTCAAAATAAGTGGGATAAGTGTTACCGATAGTCTACCGGGTGTTTCACATAATTTTACGAGGCCTGCGCCTGTAAGATGCAATCAATAATACACATTCCGATACGAACTTGATTACAAATTTTGAAAAAATGGATAATCTTCTCTAGTTAATTCTCCCTTTCAAAAATTACAACAGTTTTAGTTAGTTGGTGATTAAGATAGATAAACTAGAATCAAATTCATGCCCTCTCTTGATAGAACAAATGATAATTGTTTATGACTATTCATGAAACCGTGATTAGTTTGACAACTACTGTCATGGGTTTCCAAAAGTTAAATAATTAATTTTTTTGTATTAAGTGTTTTGTATCTAGTGTCTACAGGGGAAACACCCTGTATGTTTTTTTTTATAATTATTTAGTAAAGGTACAGAAACGAATACAAAAACTTTCTCAACAAAAGCCACAACTAACGTAAAATATTGTTCCAAGAATTCAGATGTAAAGATGTAAAATTATTTTTCCAACAGAAATAGGGTCAAAGTGCAAAATTTAGACCCCATAATTTCGTAATTTTTATACATGAAATGTTTTTAACATTTTTTCCGTTTTCCTAATGTATTAACTTGCTTGACATTTTCTAGGGCGCAAGTTTTGAAACACCCTGTATGATAAAATTAAATCGACTTTAATTTACATAAATTTGATTTAGATTTAGAGTTTTTTGTCGGCGAAACAACAAACATCATTACATTTATGAATTTTACCAATTTAAGCAGTTCAATGAAATAAAGAAAAATGAGCTATAAACTTCTCTTCGAAGAACAATCGAGCGATTCCTCTCCCATCTAAATGCTTTATCTAATTTTAGAACGAAATGATATCAGTTTTAAAGTAAACAGTTTTTCAATAACTGTTTTCATATCGGTACATACACACAAATCTCGTTCAACCTCTTCATTTAATTTAAGGAAACAATTTTTGAAATTTTTATTTTTGATGCACTTTGTAAAACTTTTGTTTTTTTTAATATTCGGCATGTATATTTTTTTGCATAGAAATTTAATTTAATTTTCTTTGTGATCACATTTTAATTACAATTTGCAATTTAGAAGTTCCTTGTATGCTTCAACCACCTTTATAAGTCAAAGGCTTCCAGTAAATTGGATTATGTTTTCCATATTTACATCATCGAACGTTTATTTTATTCATGTCATGCGACTTTGATAAAAAAGCTTGACAAAAAATATTTTTCAGAGGGTTGCGGATGGTGTGGCAAAGCAGTCGACGAGAATACAGGCCTGTCTTCAGCAGCTGCAACATTTTGTTCCGAATTATGTTTTTCTCAGTCAAGAAGGGCCAATTTCAAGAAAAATAAGACATGCGATTGGTGCAGACACGTCAGACATACAGTTTCGTACGTCGATTCTCAGGTAAACGAATTTTTAATTAACAAAATTCCTGATTTTGTTATTTTAGGACGGCTCATCGCAGTTGCAGTTTTGTTCCGACAAGTGTTTAAATCAGTATAAGATGCATATTTTTTGGCGCGAGACACGTGCCCATCTGGAAATCCATCCCCATATCCATGGAGAGGAGTCTTCCAGTGGTACTTTGATCACTCCAGATCTGTGGATGAGCAAATGTAAGTCTCCAGAAGTGCAAATTTCGTCGCCGTCTTCTTCGCCGAAATTGGCGGAAAATCCGCAACAAACATCGCCATTGCCATTAATCACTGTTGCTCACCCGTCAAAGCTGATGTCAGTGCAAGAGGCTGAACCTAAAAGACAGAGAAATAAAGTACAAAAGAAAAATAAAAAGAAAAATGCCAGTTTACCAAGTTGCACAAGCACAAATAAGACTTTCTCGACTGATATGCCCCAAGATTTGCGAATAAGACATACCCCTACTGATTTCGACGTTAATAGACCTAATTCAGATGACAAAAGTAAGACTCAACAAAGTGCAGCTAATGAAGGGGCGTCTCGATTGAGCCAAACACAGTATTTTTGTAATTCCGAAGCTGTAACTCATAGAAAATTGCTTGATAGTTTAGTACCACCTCCCACCATTTTGGTTCCTTATCCTCTTATACTGCCTCTACCTCTTCCTATTCCTATACCCATTCCCCTACCTTTTCCAAAGGGTCTCTTGAGTAAAGTTCAAGACAATGTTGAGAAATGCAGAGATGCTTCAAGTCAAACTGAACAAGAGTTCAGTTCTAGTCAAATCGTGAGTGAGATTGTTGAAGACAACACGGAAATAAATAGAAATAGTATTAGGCCTCTGAGGAAAAGAAAACGAATTGTAGAGAAAAAATCCAAGTTTTTCATCAAGAACAAAAAGATATTATCCACCTGAATATTTGTACGTTTATTGGAATAATTTTCGTATTTCTCTTTTGCTAATTTGCTATTGTACATACACTTCGGAATAAATAAAATAAGTATATATGTACAATGCAGTTTTTTTGTGTCACAATATGAAACTACAAATAAAAAGCAAACCAACTAAACAACTAATTTTTCAATACATTTTTAATATGAAGGAAGCCACCAACATTGCTAAAAATGTTGAGAATTTGTAAAAGTTACAAATTACTAGAAAAACTATAAAATAAGTTAACTTTTAAAAAATAATTTATCTGAAAGTTAACATTTTTTTTTTTTGTAAAATATCAAGGAAACAGGATTTATTTAAAAAAATGCAGAGTAGGTAGAATAAGAACAACTGTCTAAAAGGAAAATAACAAAGTTTTGTTATTAAAGAAAAAGAAATTTTAATAGCTCCTTATGGAAAGGGTTTCATAAATCTTAGGAAAATTTCTTATAATTTACATTTTTGTAAATACAAATCCAATTTTTCTGTAAAAATTCCTCAGTTTTTTGAGATTCAAAAGCTTTCTGTGTTTATTTTTTTACAGAATACAATGACAATAAACAGATTCACATTTCGAGCATTATAAAAATTATAGTAGTGCTGAAACTGGAACGATAAAAAATACGGTGCTTTCATAAATAATCAAAAGTTTTTTCAGGATGTTTTATAGTTGATTTTTTTAAATGCACTTAAGTTTTTTCTTAAATTGTTGTTTTACAGAAATGTAGGAGTAATTAATAAAAAATTTCAAGAAACTTTAGGAAAACAACATGTTTTTAGAAAACAGTATTTTTGTCTTCAAACTGTAGTTAGATTATTATGAAATGAGATTACAAATAAATGTTTTTATCTCAGTCTGCTTATGTTTATAAAGAAGAACTCATTACATTTACATAAAGGAAATATTCCTGAACAAACTACAGTATGAGTTTTATAAATTTTTTTTTCTGGACCATTGTTGGGTCTTTAGAGTATTCACCGAAAATCCAACAAATTTTCATTTTCTGTCAGTGAACTGTATACAAGTTAAGGTAACGTAATAAAACAACATTTTCCAACTTTGCACTTTAGTGGGTTGCAACTGAAACTTATTCGTCGTTTAAACTTTAGTAATAAATTCTTTCTGAAATATCTCCATCCCAATAAATGAAGCCATAAAAATTTACTGTAGTTGGGTGGTAATTGCACCGATTATTTTGCCATGGTTAATTAGTGAAACTGAAAAAATTTAGTATTTTTGTTCACTTAAATTGGGTCAAGCTTTATACCACGAACATTTTTCTTACCTTCACTTTTACACGATGATCTGCTTGGAACAAGAGAATCCACTTCATCGTGAGACTTACTACAGGTTTAGCTCCTACGGGGTTTTATCGGACGACAACGAAATGTTTATTATGATTGGCGACTGGCGAGATGGTCAGGGACGAAACAGCGTTTGTCTTTCAGAAAAAAATTATTCGGGGATGATACAATCGGAAAGGCCATGCGATAAAGCTCTTCCTTGTATATGAGCCAAACTAAATAAAATTGTATAGACAAGATTTTTTATGAACCACAAAAATGACCAGATCTCGAAATAATGTAGTGACCCAGTCTGGAAAATTACGACAAATTGGGTTTTTATCTTATTCATATTAAGAAAAAAATCATAAAACGACAACTGTTTTGAAATTTAAACCATTATTTTATTTCTAATAGGACTGTTTTGTTTATAAGGAAAAAAATTCTATTTGTGTTATTTATGAAAATAAAACGTTGATTAATTAATATTTATATGTATACTCGTAACATTACTAGCTGTTCAGTAGCATTAAAACTCACTCACCCCTGCAAGAGAATTTTAATTTTAATGCTTATTTATCATCACCATTTAGCAAGTTTTTTTCTGGTTAATTAAATACGTTTCAAAATGAAAGAGAGTATAAATATTGCAAATATATTGGTTTTCAGATTTTCAGGATTTGGTAAAATTTGATCAGTTTTAATATTAACTTTTAAATTAAAACTGCGTTAGAAAATTTTCAGAAAACTTTGTTTTTTTCTATCACTAATTTTTTCTACAAATTGTGAAAAATAGACTGCAATTTATTTTTTTGGAATAATCAAGGGTGGTAGGTAGATTAGGTTGAACAGCAAAACAGCAGACAATTTTAAGACCATTTTATTGGCTGAGGCATTTATTGTACATTTATAATTATTTACTGTTATAATAATAATAGGTATGTATCAGGATAGATAGTTACCCCATACTCTTAGAGAGGTCGCTTGGACACTCTTCTGAACCGATTTTTTATAATAGCGCACCTCCGATATCTAGTATAGTACATCGTATCGTATAATATTGTACATCATACTGTTTTAAATAGGCTAATAGTAAAATATACTCATTTACACATTAATAAGGTAGCGGTTGTTCGGACGGTGGGGCGCTGAGACCTCTCGGCGTCTGTGTGAAAGACGACCCGGCGTCTTCGGAGAAACTATGACAGGCGCAGAATGATCAGTCAACAAATACCTACTTTTTATTATTTTTCTTTTATAAAAATATTTAGGCCGTCAGATTTAACTATTACAATAGTACTCCGACGGGGTCTCACCGCCCGTCACCGATCCGTTCAGTTTCGGGTCATCGGTGAGAGGATCTAGGATGGGGGCGGGAATATTTGGTTGCGACAATTCACTAAACTAAGTGCGGAGGGGGCGGCATGCCACAGAGGACACTCCGGTAAGTATCGTGTGGGGCATGCCTCCAGTTTGTGCGTTAGTGCATGGTGACATCTATTATAATAGAACACATGTACCAAAATTTAGAGAGATCAGTGCAGATTTTGTTGTTATTATAAACATTCATATGAACAGTTACTACGTTAGTTCAAAACTAAACACGTAAAAAATAAATATCTTCATATTTATAGAATATATTTTTATTACTTTTTTTATATTATAATTTATGTGCAGGTGCCGTGTCGGGACTCCTTAAATGTTACACTAATCCATCCAGGGATCCGAAAGCATTTTTGAAACTTTCCTTGCACTAATTTTTGTACAAAAATAAACGTAACTTACAGGAACTTGTACTAAAAATTTCAAAACGATGCTTTCACGTGTGTATAACATTCGAAAATTACGTTTGAAATCGTTTCGTAGCGATCTCGATGCTTGACGAAAGTGATTGTGTCTCTTTCACTTACAGATTCCAAAAAGTAACTTTCAAATTTTATATTATAAACATAGTTAAAGATACTTATTGCAAGTTACACTTGATATATGTCACTTATTACTTTGGTTACAGACTAGAAATTGACTAGAATAATGAAAACTGCTCCCTTGTCAACAAAAAAAATAATTGTGCACGTAGAAAAATAACTTTTAGTTTAAATTTAAGGAGTCTGCCGATTTATAAATATGATAAAAAGTCACACACAGTTAAACATTAGGAGAAAACACTGTAAAGTTTCAGTGGCAGGAATATATCACATTAAAAAACTCGGCTTTGCCGTTACTTCACATCACTTCAGCGCTGTAAAAAACGAATCGGAAAGAAACATTTTAATGGAAATCAAGTCCAACGTATATAAAGGAAAAATTGGTGCATTAGTGCTCTTGTGCAGCAGTGCAGTTCTTATTTCTACGTCAGGAACGATTCATTTTGAGAGTCCGTCGAAAATGTCCCCTCGGAGACGATTTTCTCGGGTTGATAGGAAGGATCGCGTGGGTAAGGAATGTGGAACATTATGCCTTTTGACCCTGAGAAACAACTAAAACCTATCTTTTGTGTTTGTGTGTGTGGAAAAATAATTTTTCAAGGGTCTTGATTTTCCCTGTTTGGTTGTTTGCATGGCTGCAAGTGTTTTGACAGTTTAACTGTGTCAGTAGTAACAGCGAGTGTAATAATTCATCTCGTTGCTTTTTTCTCGATGATTAATAGGGATAGATTCCGAATTATAGAGGTTATTGACTCATGAACCGTTTCCAGTTGTTTTGAGTTCTAGAATCGATTTCCACACCGGAGTCTGTTGTAAACACTTGCAGCTATGGAAGTCTACGTATTTTAGCTACAAGCTAGGTTCGTAGGCCGATGCTTCGTTCATTTCGAGTCTCCTTAAATTAAAAAAAAAATCAGCACATAACGGAATTCAAACAATCGGATACCGTTTTTAACCGGAAACGAAATTTAATTGGCCAACTCTATTGTCTCGACTCGTGCATGCCCAAGAAGGATATTTTTCAGCGACCTTGCATAGACCACAGCAAAAAGTACAAAAATAAATCACTTTATCATCGGTACTTCATAAGCTATACGCGTTTTTAGTTTGTTTTTTTTTTAATTATATATTAACAAAGTGCTCCGTCAGTAAGCTTACAGTCTAATTATTTTTCAAACTTGAAACGAAAAACATCCCTCTTTACAAACTTTTTAACAATTAAATCATGTAACATTCTACAAGAAAAACTTTAAAACCGTTGTTGAGAATTTCGTCGACTACTTGGCTTAATGTCAGTTGATGGATTTCGGTGGCTCAGGATGATGTGAAAATCATCGCCCGATACCATTAACTGACATATTCGTTTTCTTTATTTTTCCATTCTATCTTTGAGAACTTCATTAACTTTTATGTAGTGATTAGTTTCCAAACAACGGCCCAGCCTCCGTGTTTTTATTACAGAATGTTGCTCAACGCCCTTATTGAGAAAAACTTCTAAACAACAGCCAGATTATCTATTAAAGTGCATAATTATAAATATATTACATCAAAAGCATGATTTTTTCAATAAATAGTTGTACAATGCCACACTTAGTATAATAAACTACGTCTAAATACTTTTTTTTTTTGCAAATTTTCTTCTTTTCTACATGATTTATAAGTGCATATAGTGGCTGGCGTTGAGTGTTTTAGGGCTTTCCTGAGTGCTTTCAGAACTCTTTCCAAACAATTTAACGAGTCGAGACTGATTAAAATATAAGTCTCTTTCGTATTTTTTAGAATATTAACAATATTAACAGTGATAAATTTGTAACAAACAGGCTTTAACATATTCATTATTTTCTAAACAATTTGATTGACGTT